TGGCTTTTGCAGGTAAATAGATGGAGTTAGAGAAGGTAATGTTAAGTGAAGACAATCCCAAAAAACCAAATGTCGAATGTTTTCTTTGATATAAGGAGGCTGATTCATAGTGGGATAGGGAGGGGGAGCATGGGAGGAATAGATGAACTCTAGATAGGGCAGAGGGGTGGGAGGGGAAGGGAGGGGGCATGGGGTAATTAATGATTGGTAGAATGTGATGATCATTTCTATCCAAAGTACATGTCTGAAGACATGAATTGGTGTGGATAGACTACGTATACAACCAGAGATATGAAAAATTGTGCTCTATATATGTAATAAGAATTGTAATGCACTCTGCTGTCATATATAAATTTTAAAAATTTACATTTAAATTATATATTGTCATATATAATTTTAAAAAATGAGGCTCTGGGACAGCACAGCTCATATGCTCAGTAAGCCAACCCTGGCCAAGGGCTTGATTCCAAATTTGAGTTTTTATGCATTGGTTAAGAATGCCCTGTATCATGTTATCCTTGAGGTTATCACTTGAAAGTTTTAAGGCACAATTCTGCTGTGGTAGACTTCTTTAGTGACCTGTAACCTAATACTTTATTGAATCAACCTCAGCATCTAGAGTTGCCTCCCAAATAACAAGGAATTGTTCAATACCTTGAGAGACTGGTGGGTGAGTGACGTCACAATCACCAGGTTGACCTGGCCATCCTAAAAAATTTCTGTGCCATCCATAAAAGAAAGCGCTGTTGTAGCTCACCTTCCCCTCAAGGTCACCTTGGGAGCCTGCATTTCGCGCCTGTGCCCTTTAGAACCTTGGTGGGGTGCTACATCACCATCTGACAGTCCTTGCTCCGTACTTTGAATATAATACTAAGAACTCTTACAAGAAATACTGTAATCTCCTGGGAGAAAGGCTGGAGATTAAATCTCAGAGCTCTGAATTTGGAGAGTCATAAAAACAGACCCTGGTCAAAATTGAAGCCAAGTGTCATGAAATGTTAGCCCTCCAAGGAGCCTTTGAGATCACCAGCCCATCTCTCTCATTCTATGGGAGAGGGAACTGAAGATGGAGATGTGAAATGTCTTGGCCAAGGTCTCGAAGCTACAGAGTAGAGAACTGGGCCTCTTCTCCTAACTTTTGTGTGACTGTTCAAGTACCTCTTGCTGGTGCATCGGGGCAGACATCACTTTTTAATCAGTACTTGTAGGTATTTTGCCTATGGGCAAAGCAAAAAATTGAAATATATGCAGCTTATTTTAAACATATATTGTATTTTAAAATATAAATATATATATATATATATATAGTATACATATAAAAATATATATACATATATACGTATATATACATATATATACACACACACACATTATATACACACACACACATCTATATGTATTGCTTTGATTTTCTACAAAATTCTAGAATTTGGCATCTAATACCCAATATTCAAATTATAAATGGGGTTCACATTTAGACATAGGGCTCATTGTATATGGAGAACGTGGGAAAAGCAGTAATCTACCCCCTGGACAAAATCACTCCTATTTCTAGGCAGTGTCTCTCAGGAGGTTTGAGATGTTTGGAACCAAATCATAAAAATGGCACACTTAAGTTGGAAGGCATTTAGGGGCCATCCAACATGAAGATTTTCAAACTCTGCTCCACAGAGTTCTGACGCTTCATGAGAGGTTCTGCTATTATTGCCCCCATCACTGGGCTATGTTTTTCTCACGTAAGATTTTTGTTTTAAAAAATGCATTTTCATTGCTTTAAAATAAGGTACGAAACCCCCTAATTCTAAACTAGTCCTTCTCTAAACTACTTATTTTAGTTTAGAGGGTGGATCCCAGAAAGACGAATTTCTTGGACTATTACTTTGGAAGAAGACATGTGGGTTTACTCCATAAAATCGGGGGTGTTATTTTCATCTTTTCACATAGTCAAGGAAGAGCCATTCCTAAAGGGGCTAGAATTCATGGAACATTTAGAAGAAATAGAAGAAGGTGGTTTTGTGGATGATGGATAGATGATCAGTACAGCAAGTATACCTCTGCTATTTTTCAATTAACCTACTTTTTAAATTTTTATCTGTTCTTTTTAGTTATATATAATAGTAGAATATATTTTGATATATTGTACATACGTGGAGTATAACTTGCGATTCATGTGGTTGTACGTGATGTAAAGTTATGTCTGATTCATTCTACTGTCTTTCCAATTACTCTTTTTTTTTTTTTTTTTTTGGTACTGGGAATTGAGCTTAGGGGCACCCGAACACTGAGCCACATCCCCAGTCCTATTTTATATTTTATTTAGAGACATTGTCTCGCTGAGTTGCTAAGCACCCGACCATTGTTGAGGCTGGCTTTGAACTCCTGATCCTCCTGCCTCGGTCTCCTGACCCACTGGAATTACAGACATGACACCAGACCAGGCTCCTATTTTTTAACTGTAATTTTTTTTTCTTTGCCCGTGAGATGACTTATTAAATAAATGATAAATATAAATTATTTTATGACCTTGGTAAAATTTAAACACAAATGAATTTATAAGACAGAAAAATAAGTGTTGTCAGACCATGCGTTCTGGTATTTCTTGAGGACCATTTTCAGAGGCTGCAGAGGTTGTGGCAAGTTGGCTTCACAAGTACGTGAAGCTGAGGACCATCAAGTACAGACACAAGAAGGATTTGGGGAGAGAAGGACCCAGTTGAGTGAAGAGAAGGCAAAAAGAAAATCAATCCCATCTGAGTAATACGATGGTGTTAAGGAAGCAGAGTATCCATGGCAACATGGGAGAAGGATTGGGTAAGGATGATGCTCTTAGCAAAGATGGATTCTTTGGAGAGACGAAATGGAACTTCACACAGATGCTGCCAACTTCTTTCTGATTATTTGAATGAGAAAACTTTATGGGCCCTGTAAAATACTGGATAAAAAAAATGAACAAATAATAACTGCCAAAAAATTGGAAAATAACTGGCACACTTAGTATTATTGTTTGGGAATAATGGTACTGCTGAAAATACTTGACTCCTACTCCTGATGGAGGAGAGGCAGCTGTTTCTACCTCGAATGACAACAGGGAGAGACTTCTGGGTTTCTGTTAGCTGTCCCAGATTTGCCTGTACAGCAAACTAAGGCATGGACGGGGAGCAAGCCTGCTTATGAGATCAGAATGGATTGCATACGTCTCCAACTTGCTGCCTCTAAATTGTCTAAATAGTTCATCAAATCTCTGACTCATTCTGAAATTTGTATAGCAAATCTTTCATGTTAAAAGTAGGTCTTGTTTCTTCCTTTTGTTAAAGACAAACAAACAGATGAATCCCCAATCACAGAACCATTGTTTGGAAAAAAAACCAAGAAGAGGATTTTCCTGGAGGTCACACATACCTACACAGGCTGGGTGGCCTCTGGTATGTCCAGAAACAATATTCATACAGAGCAATCTGGGAAGGTATTTTTGTTTTGTTTTTGGTGTTTTTTGTTTTGTTTTGTTTTTGGTACGGGGGATTGAAGTCAGGGCACTCGCCCCCTGAGCCATATCCCCAGCCCTAGTTTGGATTTTATTTAGAGACAGGGTCTCATGGAGTTGCTTAGCGCCTCGCTATTGTTGAGGTTGGCTTTGAACCCGCGATCCTCCTTCCTCAGCCTCTAGAGCCACTGGGATGACAGGGGTGAGCCACTGTGCCTGGCTGGGAAGGTTATTTTGAATGAAAGTTCTTTGGCACTTGTGAGCTTGGGGGTGTGGTGAGCTCCGACTGACCAGTGGGGCCAGTGCTATGTCAAGCTAGTCTAAATGAGACCGCCATTGGCCGTTCCATCCTCAGTCGCTAAGTCAAAATGGTCTTGAAGAGGGGACAAGCTGTCTTTGTGGATTGGTTCTGTGAGATCATTCCTGGAGCTAGCGTTTGTGGCCTCAAGAGTTTTCCTTTCTTTTCCTTGGCCCCTTCACTCCATTTTAGTCATGGGTGTAGCATTCAGCTCCACTTTGTTGAATGAATTTCATACATTCCTTTTTCTCTTCCTTTCTTCCTGTTTCCCCCTTTCTTCCCTTCCTCCCTTTCTTGTTTCTGTTGCTGGGGTAACTATAAGCTACTTGCTGCTTTTCGGTCTCTTGAAATCTTATGATTGCTCAGAAGTCATCCTAAAACTTTGGTTTTGGAAATTTAAAGTTGTATTGTATAACTGAGGAGCAGGAGGGTATTTCAGACTATCCCAAATAAGACCGCCACACCCTGTAAAATATACATTTAAGTCAGGTATGAACTCATCCTACCACCAAACAAAATAAAACACTGAGGTCAGAATGGAAAGAAAGAGTAGAAACAGGTTCGAGGTTATAGAAGCACACATTTTATATTTTCCATGATATTTAAGGTAAAATTGATATAGAAATGAGTGATACTACAATAATTAATGAACAATTTGAAAAAATAATTAGAACCTTTCACAACACAGTCTAGTAAAATTAATTCCAGGTGCCATGAAAGTTAGTGCAAAAACCGAATCATAAAAAAATATGAAAACATAAGTAAGATATAATCTGGAGATGAACAAGATTTCTCTAAGTCTACACCAAATCTAGAAATCATAAAAGACTTCTTAAAGGATCCCATATAGAAGTGTTAAATGCCAAAAATCATCACAAATAAAGTCGGAAGACAAACTGAATGGGAAATTTACAACATAGATGACTGTATTTAATGTGCTTCAAATATAAATAGCTTTCCCAAATCTATATAAAAAAAAATATTCCCAATGGAAACCTTGAAAAGAATGGAAGAGGCAATTTTCAAAATAAAATAAATAGTCAACAAATCAACAAAATGATAGTGTCTCATTATAATACTTTATTAAAATATCTATTCTTATCAAATATCATTACTTATCAAATTATCAAAATTGTTTCTAGTATGAGTACCAAATGGCATATAATTACTGATTTTTGTATAATCATTATTATACAAAATCTATAATAAAAGGGATTTGTGTTAAATAAATATTGGAACATAATTTAAAAATTAAGTAATTATTTAAAAAAAAAGACTACCTACATACACCCATTCAAAAAGTAATGATGTTTTGTAAGTGAAAAACCAATAGTCTTAAAACATGGTCTCAGGCTGGGGGTGTGGTTCCGTGGTATAACACTTGCTTAGCTTGTGTGAGGGCCTGGGTTCCATCTCCGCACTGCCAAAAAAAAAAAAAGAAAGTTCCCATTTTTGCACATAACACATTTTCTTATTTCTATTTCTAAATCTGCCTTTTCCTCAGAATTTTCTGGAATGTTTGTGAAAGTGTCTTTCCATTCAACCCCAGAACTACAAGACTTCAGTATCCAGAAAGGGGCTTTATTTAATCAGGGCTCCAGGTGATTCTTGTATCAGGCAAATTGGAGAAAATCCTGATCCGATCTGACCTAATCTCCTCTAATCTCATCTCTTTGACTTGTGGGGTTTTTAATTAGGGCCCCAGGTGGTTCTTATATGGGATAAATTGGGGAAATCCTGATCTGATCTAGTTTAATCTAGTTTTCTTCCTTTGATGTACACTGAAACAGATCCTTCGAGGCAGGGATCTGTCTCAAGTAACACAGAATGGGTTCCAGCATTGCACGCCTTGTACCCGAGATGAGCAAGGGCTTTCAAGAGCACCAGCCTTACTCAGACCAATATTTTTAAACTGAAATTMCAACAGCCTCCCATTTCTTCTGACAGACAGGTAGCAGGACTTCTCAGCTCCACCGGTTTGCATGCAGTAATGATCTCTCTTTGTTGAGAGCGAATGGAAAGTTTTCCTTTTCCACCGTTCCCTAGCAATGTGACATTTTCAAACAGTAGCACAAAACTCTTTAAATAGAAAAGATCCATTTCCACTCTATCCGTGACTCAGTAACAGCCACAGGATTCTTCTCAAACTTTCCTAAAAATGTCATCTTTGGGCTGGACTCAAGAGGAACATTTCAGCCAGGGAGGCACATTTTCCACTCTGTCAGGAATGAGCGAGAGCCTGGGGTTGGAAACAGAAAGTGTTTTGCCAATCCTTAGAAAAGCAACACTTCTCACCAAAACCATGGCAACGACTCAGTGTGATGCCGTCAGAGCCCGGGATCACTCAGGAGCCTCCTTCTAATTGGAGACTCAGCCAGGGCCATCACCTGTGTTGGTAAAACACTCACCAGCTGCCTGTTGGCTCTGGAAAGAGAACGGCACCCTACGTGAACGTTGCCATGGAGACATTACGGGCGGTGATGCTGAGCTGGGTCTTTTATGTTGCATTACCTAGGGGGCAGGTGGCATCCACTTGCATCCTGTTCTAGGGGCTCTGGATTCTCCTTTTAAAGAGCCCCACCACTACCACCACTGTGGGAGATGCATTGAAACGTGAAGCCTAATACTGCGAGTTATTATTTTCTTAACCAACTAGATCCATCTGGAACTTGCACCTAGGAGACAGAACTTCAGAGTTCAGAGTCATATACTAGAAATCTGTTCGCCTCTTTAATCATTCCCTTGGAGATATTTATGTCCTCGGAGCTATTTATGTCCTCTGGCCCTTAGGGGCTCATGTGGGGGATCATAATACGTACTCCTACGCATTTCAGTGAGATAAAAACTTTTATACCCAAGAGTGACACTTCTCTATGCTCAGCAATAATCAGTCCCCTTCAACTTTCTTATCAAAAATTATCAACACCAGAGAGACAGGGAGAAGAAAGAAGTGACCAGCAAGACAAAAGAACTGCTTTATGACAAGTTTCTGAGTCAGTGTCTTCTATGCACTCCATTTTCTGCCTTTCTCGCCTTACTTTATGTACCAGGGTCCCCTGTGTTTTCAATCCCCTCTTGCCGTAAATGGTATATCCTATTCCTAGGAGCCAGCACTCCCTGGGCAAGACCAATGTTTAAAGCAGCAGGATTGTGCAAAGGCACATGTTAAGTGTTCCCCCTTGCAATCGGAAGCTCCCTTTTCTTCTTTGGAATCCGCCACCAGAAACTGAAGGGCTTTCTCCTGAAGCAACCGTTATTAAAACAAAATATAAAAGGTATTTTGATAATCTGACATAGCTGAGAAAGAAGTTAACTCATTCATTCCATCCTAATAATCCTCTGAAACTGGTAACTATTACTTATCGTTCAACTGATTATTGCTATATGCAGAGGAGAGGGAGAAACTCATAGGCATGGTGACTTACCTGAGTTCATGCAGCTCGGTGGGTCAAAGGTGATCCTCTGTTTGCCATTCCCTTCCCTTTGCCGCATCAAGATACTTCCCTTTAGAAATAAGAAAGGCTTTGGCACCAGCACTGGGCACATGGCAGAGGTGACTGTGTAATAAATGTCACAGTGTCCCTCAATCCTGATATTACCCTCCTTTCCAACCTGAAACTCTCAAGAGACCTACTCAACTATGCCTGGTCCTTACTCTCTAAGGTAGCTCTGCTTCCTCTCCTGGACACAGGCAAGTGACATTTCTGTGGATACAATGCCCAGGAGTTTCAGAGATATTTTAACTCCCATTCTTGAAGTGTGATTCTAGTTTCTAGTTCTAGTCCCCACCAGCTGCAAGCAGCTCCACTATGCTTGGCCAACATGCTGCTGTAGATATTTTTAATAATTATTCCATAGGAGGCTTCTTCTCTGAGTCAGGTTTACATCTATTTGTTGATGGTAGAATATTAAAGTGTTTCCCTTTTTTGAGAAGGCAGGTTCTTGGAGTCTTGGAGTGGTGGTAGAACTTGATAATCTGTTCCCAAAGTTCTTTTGGGAGAAAAGAAAAGACAAGATAGAGTTGTCAAAAAACAAACAAAAAAACACATGTGTTCAATGGAGGTAATATAAGATCATTCCTAATGGACATGAAAATATGTCAGTCGTCTGGGATAATTTAAATSTAAGTATGGAAATAGATAAGAAGGGCAGGACAGATGTGGAAATCAGAATAGAGAGCCCCAGGCTTCAAAGTAAAGAAGCCCAGGAGCACACACCTATGACTCCCAATTTTGGTGTGGACGGCCGTAAGAATTCAAAAACCATCCACAAGGCTCTTGGGTTCTGGAAACTGAAAAAGACTAACACCCAAACGTCAGAATCATAAGACAGAGCTTTGCTGTTGATGAAGCCCTGGGATAACATGGGGAAAAAATAAACACCCCAAACTCACTTCCCCTCCTCTCCTAAAAACATCGATATGGTCTGTTGTTTGTAGGTGGTTAGAACTGGGAGTAGGGAGAAGGCAAGGGCCAGAAAGTAACCCTCTCCTCAGAATATTTTTAGCCACACTGAATCAGCGGAGGTTTGCCAGGACACCAACGGTCTCCACAAGCTGAGAGGAGGGAGGGAGCATAAAAAGGCATCCAGGAATGAGGCCAAGCAAGAGCCGTGCCCAGAGGAAAGGTGGCCTCACTGGGCGCTGGGCACAATGCAAAATATTTTTGCATTCTTCTGGCCATCTCCATCCCAGCTGGGAGTCAAGGCTGGTGGGGTGGCAGAGTCTCTGCCTGAAGCGTCAGTGTTCCCCGGGTAGAGCAGGAAGCAGTGACAGGGAGGCTTGGAATCATTCAAGCTTGACCTCTAGCCTGGGAGCTTTGCCAGACCTGGAGAAAAAGCCACCCAGGGACAAATTCCACTTGCTAATCTCCTCCTGGATGTGGATCTCTGGTCACCCCCTTTCGACTTGGCACATTGGACTGGCAGCCAGGCCCTGGGCTTCAGTGGAGAGGTCGGTCGATGACCGTGGATCCCTGGTGAGAAGGACAAGAAGGCCAAGGGAAATGGGCAGCCCAGCCGCACGTTGACAGTGGAAAGAAAATCACAACGCCCTCACCGGAGAGCCACTTGTCATACGAAAGCTTTCAAAGTTGGCGTTTCCTGTAACCCAATCATCCCACTTCTAGGCTCACATCTAGAAGTACCTTAAAGTGATAGCAAAGAGGTGGCCAAAATTTTAACCACAAAGAACGCCCCTTGCTGTTCATAATGGTAAAAGTTTGGAACCTAACTAAGTATCCAATAATAGCCACTTGGTTCAATGACTTAGGGAACAGTGTGCACTGTTCTAAGAGAGAGAGAGAGAGAGAGAGAGAGAGAGAGAGAGAGAGAGAGAGAGAGAGAGAGAGAGAGAGAGAGAGAGAGAGAGAGAGAGAGAGAGAGAGAAAGATAGTGTCGAAGGAAGGAAGAAGGAAAGAAGAAGAAATACCGGGTAGTTATTATTATGTATATTTTGGAAAGAATATAAACATGGCATGGAAATATCATCTGTGATATATTATAATAAAAAAAATCAGGTTAAAGAAGACAAACTTAGAAGGGTTATAAAGTTGATCTCATATAAACCTTTTTTAAAAAGGACCTAAACTTCATAAATCAAATAACAAGAAATCTCTAGCTTGGAAATAATGTCTCAGTCTGTTTGGGCTGCTATAACAAACTTCCACAAACTGGGTATTTAGAAAACACAAAAACTGGGGCTGCAGATGTAGCTCAGTTGGTAGAGTGCTTTCCTCCCATGCACAAGGCCCTGGGTTCAATCCTCAGCGAAAGAAAGAAAGAAAGAAAGAAAGAAAGAAAGAAAGAAAGAAAGAAAGAAAGAAAGAAAGAAAGAAAGCAAGAAAGCAAGCAAGAAAACTTATTTCTCACAGTTTTGGAGGCTGCAGCATCCAAGATCAAGGTGCAGGCAGATTCAGTTTCTGGGGAGGGCGCCTTTCACAGAGATGAATCCTTACTGCCTCCTCTGAGGGTGGCAGCTCTCTCAGTCTCCTTCATGAGGGCCCCACCATCTTGACCTCATCACCTCCCAACAGGCCCAACCCCTAATATTATCACCTTGGGGGTTAGGATTTCAGCACAGGAATTAGGGATGGGAGATGCAATCCTTCACATCATAATGATAAGCACTTTTATTCCTGGAAGGTTTTCTCTATTTTTGTATTGTTTCAGCATGGAGCACCTATTGTTTCTGCTTTCTACCCCTCAGTCCATTTGAGCCATCTTCCAAGGGATAAGATCAGCTCAGTCTTCCAGTTTACTGATTCATCTTTCATTATATTCACTTTGATACTCCGCCATTCATTTGAATTGATTTTATATTGAGCTTCAGTTTATTAAATTTTAAATTTTTAAAAATTTTTAAATTTTAGAATTTTTTAAAAATTATGGTAAAATAGGCAAAACATGTAATTCACCATCTTAACCATATTAAGTGTACAGTTCAGTGGCATTAAGTATGTTCAGATTGTAGTTCAGTACAACCATCACCACCACCCAGCTCCAGAATTCTTTTTATCTTGTAAAACTGAAACTCTGTACCATTAAATAATAGCTCCCCATGCCCCTGTTCCTAGCCTTGGGTCACCAACATTCTCCATTCTGTCTGTACGTATATAAAGACTCTAGATACCTCCTGTAAGTGGAAGCACACAGTCCTTGACTTTTTGTGACTGTTTTGTTTCACTTAGCACCATATCGTCAAAGTTTATCTGCACTGTACCATGTATCAGAACTTCCTCCCTTTGTGAGACTGAAGAATGTTCCACTGTGTCCATATACCAACCCATTCATTCTTCTCTCCATTCCTTGATCCATTCATCTCATTGATGGTCACTTGACATTGCTTCCACTTTTTGGCCATTTGTAAAAAAAAAAAAAAAAAATGTTATTATCGACATGAATTAAAAGTCCATACCTTCACATTTGCTGGTAAATGGACGGAACTGGAGAATATCTTGCTAAGTGAAATAAGCCAGTCCCCCCAAAACCAAAGGCCAAATGTTCTTCCTGACATGTGGATGCTAACCCATAACAAGGGAAAGTACGGAGGGGAAGTAGAGAAGTTCATTGGATTAGATAAAGGGGAAGGAAGGGAAGGGAGGGGAGATGGGAATAGGAAAGATAGCAGAATGAATTGGATATAACTTGCCTATGTCATATATGAGTACCCAACACCCAACCAGTGTAACTCTACCTCATGTGCAACCCACAAGAATGGGATCACCCTAACCACACTTTTTCTTTAAAAAGATTCTGCCTTCAATTTTTTGAGTACATACGTTACAATGGCATTGCTGGATTATATGTCAATTTTATGCTTATTTTTTGAGAAATTACCAAGATATCTTTCCACATTAGGTACACTATTTTGCATTACCACCAACAATACCTAAGAGTTCCAATTTCTCCAATCCTTGACACCACGTGTTTTATTGACAGGAGCCATGTAATGTGTGAGAGGTGGCTAGTTATTCTTTTCCTGTTGATGAAAATTCTCTGTCATGAGAAAGCGCTCTTCCCTTGGTTCATGGTGTCACCTGGAGTTCTCTCCTTTGGTGGTTTTTTTGATAGTTTGGAGTCTTTCTTTCCTAATGCTGACTTTTTTTTTCCTCTGGGTTAGATGGTTCTCCATTGCACCCTTGCATTGTGCCCTGGGGGATCTCTGATAGACAGCCTGATGCACAGTTAAGCACAACCTGCAGAGGAAAAGCAACCACTGAGACTTGTGTTTAGATGATTTGGGGGATTGTAAGGGAGGGACAGGATGAGCCCATAACTAGTTTCAGGCCATGAAGGATTCTTCACTCTCTGGGGTATGACCAACAATCTAGGGCCAACCTTTGTATCTCCAAAGATGTCAGATGTGTTATTACCCTCCCATCCCCTATAACCACTGTCCTACCCAATGTGAAAAGGTACAGAACCTGGGTAAGTTTGTTAGTTGGGGTACCTCCTACTTTGTACTCCCAGCTAAGGACCCTGTTTAGAAAGCCAGACCTGCCCTCCTGATCCTAGCATGGAAAAACCATGGTATAACTTTCAATGACTCACTTGCCTATCTTGGTGTAGTTTTCCAACCCACCCCCATACATGTTTGTGTGTCTCATAAGTTACTTATAGTTTCAATCCACTGAGGAATCCCCTTCTTTTCCAATGTAGGTACAGATTTTTTTTTCGGGGGGGGGCGGGTACCAGGGATTGAACACAAGGACACTCAACCACTGAACCACATCGCAAGCCTTATTTTGTATTTTATTTAGAGACAGGCTCTCCCTGAGTTGCTTAGCACCTTGCTGTTACTGAGGCTGGCTTTGAATTCTCTATTCTCCTGCCTCAGCCTCCCAAGCTGCTGGGATTACAGGTATGCACCACCACACACAGCCAGATTTTTAAACTATCATTTCTCTTATTTATAGGTATGAGGCATGTGTTTGGTTTTTTTAATGTAAATTTTTTTACTTATATATGACAGCAGGATGCATTACAATTCTTATTACATATATAGAACACAGTTTTTCATATCTTTGGTTGTATACATAGCATATTTACATCAATTCATGTCTTTGTATATGTACTTTGGATAGTAATAATCATCACATTCCATCATCATTCATTACCCTATGCCCCCTCCCTTCCCCTCCAACCCCTCTGCCCTATCTAGAGTTCGTCTATTTTGGTTTTCTATCTAGAAACTGGAAACAT